TTACCATGTGATCAGCCGTGTCCAATGACACAGCAGATCACCAGTAAATGCAGTTGCTGGTTATCAACTGCACTTTCCACATGCTGTCAGAGGACAGATTGGCACCGATCATCGGCCCACAAGTGCCCAGCAGTGCCACCCACCTTTGTCCAGCTGTGCCCAACAGTGCCACCCACCACTGCCCATCAGTGCCACCCATCAGTGCTGCCAGCAGTGCCACCCAGCAGTGCCACCAGTCAGTGCCCAGCAGTGCTGCCTATCAGTGCCCTTCAGTGCCGCCTATCAGTGCCCATCATTGTTGCATATTAGTGCAGCATCACCAATGCCGTCTATCAGTGCCACCTATCAGTGTCGCCTATCAGTGCTGCCTATCAGTGCCCATCAGTGCTGCCTATCCGTGCCACCTCATTTAGTGCCACCTATCAGTGCCCATCAGTGCTGCCTACCCATGCCACCTCATCAGTGCCGCCTATCAGTTCTCATCAGTGCCGATTATCAGTGCCACCAGTCAGTGCCTATCAGTGCCCATCAGTGCTGCCTATCAGTGCAGCCTCATCAACGCACATCAGTGAAGGAGAAAAATAACCTGTTTGCAAAATTCTATAATAGAAACAAAGAAAAACTTTTTTTCAAAATTTTTACTCTTTTTTTGTTTATAGTGCAAAAAATAAAACACCCAGTGGTGAATACATACCACCAAAAGAAACCTCTATTTGTGTGAAAAAAAATGATAAAAATGTCATATGGGTGCAGTGTTGCATGACCCTTTGAATTGTCATTCAAAGTGCAACAGTGCTGAAAGCTGAAAATTGGCCTGGGCACGAAGGGGGTATAAGTGCCCAGTAGGCAAGTGGTTAAACAACTTTTTCCCCTTATCTAACCTACCCTTCCCTTGCTAAGATTATAGAATGTGCTGTCATATCTTAATTACATAACCATCTGACTGTAAACAACATGTTTGAACCCCTCCAATCTGATTTTCGGCAGCTGCACAGCACAGTTACTGCCTTGGTCAAAGTTACCAATGACCTTATGTTAACTTCTCATTCAGGGTCCCTATCTATTCTTATTCTTCTGCCATTGACACTGTAGACCACAATTTAATCTCCCACCTTGAAGCCATATTTGGAGTTTCAGAAATTGCTCTGAAATAATAGAAAAGTCTTATCTTCCCTATCACTTTATTGATTCCAGCTGGTAGCTGAGATTGGTCCAGTTATGTCCAGTGTTCCTCAAGGCTCTATCTTGGGTTTCTTACTTAGTAGCATGTACTTGTTTCCACTTGGTTAGCTGGTAGGTTCACATGGCAACAATGATCACTTCTATGTTGATGATACTTAGATATAGATCCATACTAAACAGGATCTTCATGTGGCTTTTCCTCTCCTATCCAACTATTTGTGACATAAAAACATGGATAACGTAAGTTTTCCTTCAACTAAACTGTGAAAAGACTGAAATCATACTTATTAGAATGCCCCATCAACTTTATAAAGACAATCCTTTAATGTGATTGAGCTTAAGTCTAAATTGAAACATCTGGGAGTGGTATTTGATTCTAACTTAACATTCGATCCACGTGTACAGAATGTTGTCAGATTATCTTTTTTCCACTTAGGAAACACCGCTCGATTAAGCCCTATGTTAACATACACTGTGGCTGAAAAGGTGATCAATACCTTTGTGTTCTCTGGGCTTGATTACTGTAATGTTCTATTTGTTGGAGTACAGTATGTCCAAAATGTGGCAGCTAGGATCCTGACTAGGTCTAGTGCAATTGTTCATAATACTTCTATCCTTACAGTCCTTGCACAGGCTACCTGTCAAGTTTTGCATACATTTCAAAATTCCTATGCTCACCAATAAGGCTCTGCATGGCTTGGTGCCTCATTATCAGTCTGATTTTTTTTATCCATCTACTTCCCCCCCTCGTAACATTCACTACTATAATTCTCATTTTTTCTGTGTCCCTCAAACTTATCTACATTCTTTGGAGGACTTCTGTTATGTCCTAAAAACTTTGGAATTCTCTTCCCAAGAACATCAGAGTCACCTTCTCTAAACTTTTTTCAAATCAAAACGGAACATTTTTTTTTACAAGCCTTCACCTAACTGTTCCTTTGTTGTGTATCATTATGATTTTGTTTCTTTTGTAAAGCACTTTGAGAAGGTACCTTTGAAAGCACTATATCAAATATTGTTTATTATTATCATCAATATTATTAATATTGTTAATAATAATAATACTGGGCTTCTACAAAGAATCTGAAGCTATATGTTAGGCAGTATACACATACTAACTTTGTTGATGCTAGTATATATATTTGAATGTGTTTTATGCATTTTTTTTTTTGGGGGGGGGGGGCGGAATCATGTTCACTTCCAGATGTAGCTATACCAGATATGTAGCATTTATATAGTGCAAAGCTTGTGAATTTGCCCTGACTAAGTGACAATAATTATTATTATACAGGATTTATATAGCGCCAACAGTTTGCGCAACACTTTTACAATATAAGGGAGACAGTGCAATTACAATACATTTCAGTACAGAAAGGAATATGAGGGCCCTGATCGTGGAGCTTACAATCTAAAGGAAGGGGGAAGGTGATACAAAAGGTGATAGCTGAGGGTATGATCTGGTGGAGGTGATTCAAGTACAGTTCTTAGGTGGAGGTGGGATAGGCCTTCCTGGAAAAAGTGAGTGTTCAAAGATCGCCTAAAGGATTTTGTAGCGGTGACATTATGTGGACCAAGAGAGAGCAGGAGATAAGTGCAATGATGTCTATGGGCGTGTCCAAAAGTAAGCAGATGCCCCCTGCCAACCAATCATACAGGAAAAGTTAGGCATCCATAGGATGGAACCAGAGGTGTCAGCCTTGGTGGGCATGGTTATGTCTCCATAATGCAGGGAGAACAAGCTGAATTATATATACACCATCCATCGCCTAACATCTGTGATCAACTTTAAAATGGCTCCAAAGTCTAACAGTTTTTTACTTTAATGCATTCCTACATTAATGTAAAAATGTAAAATGCTCCCTACTAATTGTTCCTCCCTTACCCCCAGCCGACCCCCCCCCCCCCATACCATCTGAGCCTTTCAGCGATCTAGCGCTGTCCCAGCTGAAGGTCTTCTCCTTTCACTTCCTGGTCTTCCAGTGGACTCAGGCAGCAGCAGGAGCCATTGCGGTTGATTTACTAAAACTGGAGAGTGCAAAATCTGATGCCAGCTCTGCTAATGCTTGTAACCGATTGGTTTTCTAATCACAGTTTCTATAAATTCTAGCTGTGTTCAAATTAGAAAGAGGCTTTACAAACACTTTAGGCTTTAACACATGCTATAGGGGCACCCCAGGAAAGGAGGAGCAAATCTTTTTTTCTTGTGCTATTTGAAATAAAAGTATTAGAGGATTACCTCTGCCAAGTGTTTTTAAAGTACTGTGTGCAAGTTCTGATGGATGATGGATTCATCCTTATGATCCTGATAACAGAGAATAAGTTGTTGACAAGAGTTGATGCCAGAACAAGAGGTAAAGGTTATTTTCCAATAGGAAAATCTGTTCCCTTCTGTCTAAGAGGGGCCTTCCCCTCACTTTGGAGACAGTCTCTAAGTTGAGTCTCAAAAAGGAAATGGGACTGAAAGGATGTTTGATCGACCTCTTTGCATCTACACAACCGAAACCAAAAATATCTTGGATAATCTGTGTGCATACTGTAAGTACATCCATTAGTATTATGTGTAGGTTACCAATCACCCCTATGTAATGTCTTCACTTCAAACTTCATATTAAATAACAATTGTTCATTTTAATTTTTATTACAAATTCATTTTAAAGACATTTTTCTACAGTTTATTTTGTAATGCTTTATTTGCAGAAGGTAATAGGAAAACACTGCTTTCCATATAAAAACATATATTTAGTTATATAATATATAAAATACAAAAATATAAAAAAGACAACAGATTGTAAAAATTTCAAGGCCATACAAACACTTTTTCGATGCACAATATCATTAAAATATACTTATTATAGATAGATATATATATACAAAGGCAAAGGTACAAAGGCAAGGTACCAGCATACAAATAAATACTTTTTAAATACATATATAAAGGAGTTATTAAAAAATATAATATACAGCACCAATTAAATCATTGGAGGTAATGGAGATTAGGGAACAGAGGACTGTGGTGACAGAATAAATTAGTGTGTGTTTGTATATACAAATATAATCTGCAACTCATATTGGCTTGACAACGAACAACCCTGTATGTCATCTGCTCACATATTTCTCTTGTACACCCATGTGCACAGCCACCAAAGGTCCATTGCTTGGCGTATGCAAGACAATAATTTACAATTGGATTTGACTGTGATGAGTACTATTGTCCTAAATGTATTGGCTGTCTTAATTTCCATCTGGACCTAGTTGAATTAAATTTTAACACCATTCTGGTATTGTAAGGCAAGACAATGACAAAAAGGCATGTTGTATGTTTGTACTGGCTGTTGCAGTTTTCTTCTACTTTATGACAAATTATCAAAATGTCTACAGGTATCTACAAGAAACCATGAGATCTCAGTCATGTGCCATCTTTGTGCAAAGATTTCATTTTGGGCACTGTAGACATTTTAGGAGGTTGTATGAGTTGAATTTTGGTATCTTTCTGCTATGCCCCACAGTAGTACATTCCAAAAAAGTAAAATGTTAAACTACCCTAACCTTTATAAAAAGTTATTTAGAAATTGCTTGAATACTTCAGTGCTTCATTGTTCTCTATTTATGTTCCCTCTCTAAGTATAAAATAAGTTCACAGTCGTAATGTTCTATGCTTAGAACTATATGGTACATAACCTTGAGCTGTAAGATGAGGTTGGTGCTCCTTTATGATTTCTCTCTGGATATTAGGGACTCAAAACAAGACATTTACACACCTCGTAGGGTGACCAGGTTTAGGAAAGTCTACTTCTAATGACAAACAATAGCAGACTAAGTTAACGGTCCAGAAACTGAATGCTGATATTCCTGTCCGGTACTAGAAGGGTTCTGGTCATAGGTTTCACCAAGCTTGCAGGGCACTCAGGTCGAACTTCAAAATGAGTAAGGATCTGCAAAGGATATAAATAGGCCTTTATTATCAAGAAAAAAACCTACAGTGAAAAAATACTGTCCACTGAAATATCATAATAGACATAAACGGTGACTTTCAATGTACACAGTAATAAAAATGTCCGCCCAATAATTGATCTTTCAGTTTCTAATACATGTTAGTGGGTTGGATTGCCAATAAGCCTTTCATATTTCTTGGAGCCTTGGGTATCTGGTTGTGCTTACTAGTACTAAAGGACTGAAGCAAATATCCAAATGAGCTATTATGGTCTCTGCTATAGCTGTTACACAGATATTCTGCTCACAAAACCCTTTACCTCATAACATTTTGTTATTATTTGTTATATATCTCATCCATCCTAGATGTTTTAAAGGGTAATTATTTATTTATTTCAGGAACTTATATAGCGCCATCAATTTACACAGCACTTTACATATATATTGTACATTCCCATCAGTCGATAACTCTCAAGGAGCATAACTTACATTCATACACATACTAGGGCCAATTTAGACAGGATTCAATTAACCCACCAGCATGTCTTTGGAGTGTGGGAGGAAACTGAAGTACCCGGAGGAAACCCACACAGGCACAGGGAGAACATGCAAACTCCAGGCAGGTGGTGCTGTAGTTGGGATTTGAACCAACGACCCTAGTATTGCCAGGCGGAAGAGCTAACCATTTAACCACTGTGCTGCCGGGTATATGTGGACCCTGGTGGGATAAGTCAAGTTTTTCATATTTCTATCTCAGATAGTCCTGTCAGTTATATCTCCTGACATAATTCTTGATCACTGTACACCTGGAAGTTTTGGGTTTTCCTGCCTTCCTTTCTGAATTCCAGCCTTCCCTGCTACATAATATAAAATAGGTATAAATCCATCACAGAGAGCAGGGACCCCTAAGGATGGTCACAACACGTATGTAGATACATACATTCTAGCACAGAGATATCACCAACAGAGCTGCTAGATATTTACAAATGTGGGAGCTTTACCTATCATTATGTAGTACAAACTAAAATATCAGTTATGGTGTAGACTGACACTCTAAAAGAAGTTGGTAAAGTCCTCTTACCCGTGAAAGAGCAAGGTAAACTTCCAGTTCAGCTATCCGCCTCCCAATGCAGCTTCTCTTTCCAAATCCAAATGGGATAGAGGCATATGGATGGTGGCACTCATCTTTCTTCAGCCAGCGTTCTGGTTTAAACTCATTGGGGTCTGAGAAGAACTTCTCATCACGTGATGTAGCATAGTGGCAGAGGGTAATAAGTGTCTGAAAGAATAATGCATGGATTAATGTTTTGCCCTTACAAAAGGAAGCCTACTATTTTGTGTGTAGCATATTTACAGACTGTCTACACAATTACTATATGACAGCGAAATTTGTAGTTTTCTAGCAATCTAGTAAATAGTGCATGCTTAACTTACTTTTTTTTGGTATTGTGTACTCTCCTATTTGGATATCTCTGTCTGATACAACTCGGGCATTGCCAGGAATTACAGGATACAACCTACAAAGATATAAAAAAATATTACAATGGTGATTTTTTTTTTAAACAATTCAATCTGTTATTCCCCTAGCAAGACAGTACTTTCCATTATTGGCTTTTTGAATGTTTTAGGGGAATAATTAGACAGAGCAGCTGTTTGGGGCCCCTGTGGGGTTCACAACAAGGATTTCCTTATGCAATGGTAATTAGAGCTGGCACTTAGTTTTCTCTCTGCTGATGCAAGTCCTATGTTCAGGGCATAAGTTCAGTCCCTCCTAATCAGTCCATTAAGCACAGATTGCTGATTGGCATAAGAGGACAGAGCAGCAGGATTTGCTTTTGCCAGGGGACTTAAACAAAAAGTCAAAGTGGGCTTTAATGTGATAGTAGCATCAACAATTTTGCTTGGAGCTGCATAACACCCATAAATGTCCACTGCTAATGTATTAATACATTCTCTTCCTTAGAACATCCTAATACTGGAAACTACCCAATTATATAGTGCTGCCTATTGTATTTTCACAGCTCATTGGACTTACTTTGGACAATATACCCCAATTTTCACTGTCTTTCCAACATGCCTTTCCTTAGGCACCCCTTGTATTTTACTGAACTTCTATTGTTGTATTTATGTCATTTTTACCTCAATACTTCTTTTACAACAGCCTTCATCAGGGGCATTTTAGCTACATCAGCTGCAGTTGCAATCATCCGTCCTTGTTGCACATCTGTGATCTCTTTATACAGAGCAGACTGTACTTCTGGATGTCTTGCTAGCTCATACAGGGCCCAGGAAAGTGTACTTGATATCTGCCATAAATATAAAAAGGTTTATTATAGCAGGTGAATCCTGAATACAGTATAAGAAATAAAAATTTTTATATGAGACTTTCAAGGCAACGAAGTGAGTGTGTTCGGGAACAGCTCTCATGCATTACAAGCGAGAGTACAGACCAAAAGTAGTGAAGTGTATTGATGAACTTCAGCAATGACTGCATTTAAAACTAAAGTACTGAGCAGGTAAGCAGTGCTCTTTGTTGGTACCTAAAGGTTAAGCTTTGACTGATGTGCCATTTTTGTTCTGCCTACCCTCTTACCTATCTTGCTCATACACTTCATTTTTATGCCTTACATGATTGTACCTTTTTGGAATGTATCTTACAGATGTGCCTTGTTTCTGTTTTACATGTTACTTGATGCTGAAATGTTGTCTTTTCAGCCTATTTCATAAAAACTAATAAAATAGTTTGTAAACAAAAAAGTTTTGACTGATATTTAACTTTATCCTAGGATCACACTAGGTGTTTGCTCGGGCACGACAGCCCATTCATTTGAATAGGCTGCTGTGCCAGCATTTTATGCACCATTTTTAAACCGCAGTGGCTAGGAAATCGCATGGTGCTTTTGCACATTGCGATTTCCCAGCGGTTCCTGTACCCCCACTGCATTTTTAGATGTGTGGGAGTGCCATTAAGAATAAATGGCAGCCTCGCTTGTCTGTAAAGAGCATTTTGGCTGTGGGTGGTTGCGGATGTGGCAACAGCCGCAATAGTGTGTATCTAGCCTTACAGATATATCATATTTCAGACACTACAAATCTTTAGATTCTATGAACATTTAATTTGATATTTGGAAATCTATATTTTCCTTTTATTCATTTTAAACAAACATCACAATACTAATTAATGGTCTTAAATGTGCAAGCAATCCTTGTAAGGGCCTTTTCACACTCATCAGTTTTTCAGTTAAAAAAAGCAGAAGAAAAATGGATCCCTTTAAATCTTATTGAAATCTTCAGTTGCGTTTTTGCTTGCTGCATTTTTTGTGCATGCTTTAAAAAATGCACCTCCCCATTAAAAAGCATTAAAAGCGTATCAAATACGTACCAAAAGTGCAACTGGGCTTTTTTGAGTAACATGTCCACGTTTCACAGGTGCATGCTGATGTCAGGCAACTATAAATTGCACCAGAAATGTGGCAAAAACATATATGCCTTTTTACTGCGTTTTTTTGCCATGGAGCAGTGTGAAAGCAGCCTAGGTCTTTTTTATAAAATGTATGTAGGGTCAGCATATTTTACTGAACTTTAGCAATTACCGGTACATATTATTGTCTGCCCCAGTGATGCTGAAAACCAAACCTCAGTATTACTACCTCATCCAGGGAGGCAAATGATAAGTAAAAACTAAATAATCTATTTGTATGCTTTCAGGCTGAGAGACGAAGTAAAGCACAAGGCAGGGCTTGACATCAATTCTGAAAGGCCTCAGTGGTAATCAGAGTATAGTATCTCCAATGTTCATGCTGTATATCAGGTTTACATTAGATATGCTGTAAAAAATACATGGTCCCTTACCGTGTCTACTCCAGCCAGAAGCAGCTCGGTGACATTGCCATAGATTGCCTTCATGGGTAATTTCTCCTGGGCCAGGTAATAGGTAAGGAATTTTCCTTCCACTTTCTCACCTCGGGACACTTTCTCAGCTATATCAGCCATTCTTTGATCAATATGTCCTTTAGCTGCAAAAAATAAAATATTTTATTAAGACTAAAACAGATACCATCTTATATTCTTAACAACTTCTAAGTAATACATTTATTTTCCAGATTTCCTTTCATTTTAAAGATGTGTGAAGTTTCCATCTATTTAAACAATCTTCAGCAATTGAGTTTTATGTGTATGCAGTGTCAGTCTACTGAAGGGCTATGCTATGTGTGCTTAGTTTAATGATGGAGGCACATTTATGTGTAACTGTTAAGTGGTTGTAAACCCTTACATATACCCAGTGAAGTGATTGGCCTCAGGTGATACACAGAGATGAAACAAATCCTCCTATATCAGCTGTTTATCCACAGCCATCTATTTAAAGTGTAGAATTTACACAGGCTCTCTCAGTTCTGAAAAGCAGGGGATGGGGAGCTGACATTACACTCAACAAGGCACACCCACCCTCCACAGAACACACAGCACAGGTCAGAGATGTGACCGTCAATCACAGGCTGTGCTCTCCCCTTTCACCATTTTTCTCTTGGTGTCAGGAAAACTTGTCAGAAGTGACAGATAGCAGAATAATGAGATAGCAGACAGAAATTACACTTAGCGCTCTGGATTGAGACAATTACACACTATATAGGGGTATCCTTTGTTCATATTTCATGTCTCAGGTTTACAACCACTTTAAAGGACATTTAAAACTGCATATCCATCTAGGACTACCATTGGGTGACAACGATTCTGTGAGCTTTCACTGCAGAACGAACAATGTCGCCATCCTGTTCCAGGAAGTGGGGAATATCAAACTGTAACTATACTGTCTCCCTTTATTTTTAAAAGTGCTGTGCAAACTAATACAGCATTATTATAGATTGTATAAAGTAACATGTTGCTGATTTCTAGGTCTCTTTTTATTTTAAGCAAACAAAAAAAAAAGAATCAATGCTTGAAAGTTAAATATACACTATAATTGGCTTTATCAATGTATACACAGCAGTAGCATCTACTTTCAGTGTTTGCCTGTCATAGGTAAAAAAAAAACACAGAAGCGGCACCATGAAAGCCTAACCTGGCTGATGTAAACTTTCTTGTGTCCTTCATACCATCTAGAAGAGGAAATTACTGTAGACCTTGGAGTGGTAGGAAAGATAAAGCACAGCTTACATCAGCCTCGCTAATTATTCACAAAAAAATAAGCTGCATGGTTAACGTTTCATAGCTTATCGAAGCCATTTCTTCAGTTCTAATGATTGGCAGGAAGGTACCCCAACACTTATTTCCACACCTTTAGATGCCTTAATCCAATCACCATGGAATGTGGAGATGTTGGTGATTTGATTAATGTCGAAATAAATGATGGGGTACCTCATTTAACACTCATATAGAACTGAACATGCTGCTTGCATAGGCTATGAAACATAAGTAACATTACAGAACAAGTCCAATTGAACTACTACTAGTTACTCCATCTACAGGGAGTCTCTTGACTCTTTTTAGATGACATGAGTCTGTTGATATGACCTCACCATCAGCAACATCACTTCTCTTAGATTTGCTTCTGAATTTACCCACAAGTGTCCAGAATGGACCACCGGAGAACAAAACAAGTAGAAACATAACCTGAAAACATATGTTGGAACCGTCCCCTGTTGCCTCAAGCCCTGTCCCCCAAACCCTTAATGGGAAACACATCCCTACTAACCATTTGTACCAAGTAAGGGATGTTTGGGTATTCTCCTTTGTGTTTTGTATGTAGTGCAGTTTGAAGGAAGGCGAATAGTTTTATTGCTGAATCAAAGAGAGCTGTGTAAATAACAACCAAGTGCTTTGGTGCAAAAACTTAATAGTGGTCCCTTAATATACCTTACAAGACCATATAATGGTCCAGTTCATATATTAAAGAGAAGATGGCATAATTCAATCATTTGCAGTAGTCCAGAGAGAAGAAAAATATTTGGGTGGAAAATTCTGCTTTATGCAATATTAGCTAGTTCACCAAATGGAGTGGTACCCGGAGCAGTGGTACCCCTTGCACTAGATCATAATGACTGTTGAAACTTACCAAAAGCAAACATGTAATCCCAGGACTCGCAGAACTTTTGCCAGGGCTTTCTGAATATTTTGTGCAAAAATCTGGGCATGGCCATGGTTAGAAGGGTCATTACAAACATAGTATTGATGGACTGAATGAATTTCTCAGTTTCTTCGGGAATAGTGGTCTCCAGGCAACCAATTCGTGACTCAAAAAGGACAGAGGAAATACCTAGGAAAATGCAGAGTGGGAAAAGTTATCAGAAAAAGCACAACCCGAATCTGTTACACATGAGGCAAGATTGGAGAATTGTGGAGACACAGCTCACATTTTGTAATACATTGCTATGTGTGTGTAATCAGTAGTGGGAAATCGGAGTTAGAAAGTTTAAATCCTTAACATCTTTGCATAAAGCACCCTATTGGCTGCACAACAGCTGCATGGAGTCAGAAACCCCACAACATAGCTCTTTACTTTGCAAGAGATTTTGTCTTGGAGCTTAGTGAATGTGGTGAAAATTCACTTCTCAAAGAGTACCGAATCATATGTAAGGGAAATAAAAAAAAACTGCTTTTTTTGCTTGCACATGACTGAATGATGGAAGTCAGCAGAGCTTCACCTCATTCCCTAAGCTCCAGGGAACGTTCTCCTGCAAAGTGCAACTTCTCTAGCAAGGTGAACAGTCTATTTGCTTTTACTAAATCAACCCCCTGTAAGGCCACATTCACACTTGAGCTGAGTGTCTTTGATCAGTTTTTCTGGTTTTTTAGCATCTCTAGAGAGGTTTTTGAGTTTTTTCTTTAATTTAAATATTTGAACTAGTTACTAAAGGAAAAATTGCATAATATGCCCGTTTTCATGCATTCTCATTGAAGTCTATTGGAGCCACAAATTCTTGCAGCTTGAAACTCGTAGCTAAAAAGATCTACGAGCTACAAGTTTCATGCAAGAAAATGTATAGCTGCAAACAGGTACAACTGAAAACCATGGATTTTGGATGTTCAGCGTTTTGGAGCTTTAAGCTAGATAACACTCAAGTGTCAATGGGGCCTAATAATGATGTTGACACTGCAGCACATGGGGGGCCTCAATTTATTGGCACACTGAATTCATTTCTAAATTGTTACAATTATCTGGACACAGCCAGACTCCATGAAAATGTTACTTTCATAATTGGTGAATTGAAACATTTCCAAGTGTTCCTTTGTAGATGAATGAACCATTTAGTGTGATCATTTACAAGGTTGCAATAAGTACAAAAAAAAGACACTAACAAATCTATATAATGAATAATTACCTTCTAAGCCAAATCTGTAGAACTCCTTGGAAATGTCTTTGACAACCTGATTTGGATTTTGATTCCTCTGGTGATTTAACTTCTTTATGAGATCCCCAACCACATTGCTGAAAACATCACTGTATGCCTCCACCTCCTTTGGTTTCAGCATGTGTTTCCCGAGAATACTGCGGAACTGCTGCCATTCTTCTCCCTCACTGCAAACATCAGAGAATAATATTTAATAACACTCCTATACACAATCACATAGGTCCTGCGTTATACCTAAAATAAAATGTATTATTTAGTAAAGCAGTGCTAATCGGCATAGTGCAGGAATCCGTAGAAACAGAAATCTTATCCTAACTCAATAGTATTCAACTGATTTTATATACAAATGGCATGAGTACCTGAACCTGTCCTGGTATTAGCCATCTGTAATCTCCTACACAGCAGTGCTCAGACTAAGAGAAGGAGAAGCAGCAACCTCAGTCAAGCAGGTTCTATTGCTTTACACAATACTGTCAGTCTAACACACTGAACATGCTTACAGGAGAGCAGAAAACAGGGGTGATCTCATTAGGTGCTGCAGTTCTTCCTTCATTACCAGTAACAGGCTGTAGAAAGTCACAAACCAAGGTTTATTTCTTCACTGCTGTATAGTCTGCAGTAAGACCTGGCTGTGCTTTCTGGCAGGAATGTCTGAATTACAAGGTTTGGCTGTAAAAAACAGTTCATATACTTTAACTGTGTGTTATCTGTTTGCCAGGAGTTAAGCATTTAATGAATAAACAATGATATCACTAATTGTTCCCTAGCAGGTACAGGTAATATGAATGTTTTTAGTAGCAGTGCCCTGATAGTATATGGTTTGGAGATGAAGCGCTATTAGATATAAGTCCTATTTCACATGGGCTTCAGCTTGTATAAGAGCAGTGTGAACAGCAACCTTTTACAAAGCCTTTGCAAAGCTTTTAGCAATCTTTGTTGAAGCTTTTAAAGTACCATCCAGCTCTGGTTTGGGAGTGGTGATTGACACTTTAAACAAACTGCTAGCAAGCTTCATCACTACTTGAAGCTTGTTGAAGGACTGCTGAAGCCTGCTAGCAGCTTGTTTAGAGTGGCAATCTACATGAAAATCTGCGTATAACATTTCCAAAAGGAGCTGAAAGGTGCTTTAAAGGCTTACAGAAAGCTGCTTTGAAGCTTCCCGAAAGGTTTGCAAAAGCTTGCTGAACGTTTCATAGAAGCTTGCTGCTCTTACACAAACTGAGGCCCCCAAGAAACAACCCTAAAGGTTAACCTGCATTACAAAAACAAAACACAGATTTGGAATAGTTGTTATAGGAACATCTTCAGTCCTTTTTTCTAGTTTTAGAAATCAGCTCGTGGACCCCAGCCCTCGCATCAGTACTATGATCATAATGAGAAGTATTTAGAGGATACTTACGCAGTAAGCAGACCATATGAGTGTCCCCTGTACTCCCTGTAGTCTTTCCAGGAGGAGAGATCCGAACGAATGGGATGTTTTCCTTCCTGTCGTAAGACCTGCTCAATCAGTGCTGGATCTGCCACATGAACAGTAAGGATTGGACCAAAACTTGCCTTCCACACCGGACCATACTTGGCTTTTCCTTGCAGCTGAAGATACATATAGAAGTAGTTATTATTATTTATTACTTCATTTCACAGAATTATAGTCTACCAATCATTGGTCTCGCCCGATGTGAATAGAGGAATATGTTAGGTTCTTTTTTTTTTCTGCATTCAGCCCATTGGCTGAACGACAAAAAAAGAACATTCCATGTGTGCCCACCATGTTGTTCTCTTCATAGATATATGTTTGTTTGTATGTGTATATATATATATATATATATATTATATATATATATATATATATATTATATATATAAACTTTTTTTTTTACTCTATCAAATTATATACATACAGTATATATACAGTCTTGCATACTGTAATACTGTATAGACAACTGATAAGAAAAGCCTTCTGATCCACTGAATGTTACAGGTTAGCTTGTTTAGTTGTTTTAACTAGAAGTGTCCCTCTGATGAGTACTGTGAGCTCTGCCTGAAGTGACAGGTAACACGCAACTTGCAGCCCTGAGTATGTGACCCGAGCTGATCATCCTTGTCCACCCAGTGTGGTGCTGAAAAGCATTACCCCATTTTGTGGTCAGGAAAGTGATGATGCATATTCCAGAAATGAGGCTCCTCATGTATTATGTGAAAAGGAAATTAGTAAGAGAGGAAATAAGATGACTCAGTATTCGTATCACATCTAGTAAGTACGTCTAGCCTTAGCCTCGGGTATTGAACAATGAATAGATTCTGTGTCTATCCTTCCATGCAGGCAAAGGCTGAAGTAGGAGCAATCCACCAACAGTAATAATGGCATGTCCTCAAATTCTGTCAGCACACTACCTACATAGGAATGTTAATCCCAACCTGATGACCATGGGAATGGTATATTACCATTATAGGAAGGAGGATCGGTCATTCAGAACACCTGTCTTCATTTCATTCAGTAAAACAAGCATTTGTACACAGGTAGAAGTGCAGACCCAACATGCAGAGGTTTTTTTTTCCTTTACACAGTTCTTAAAGCATCGGCATGTCCAATGCAGGATTATGGACCCGGCATCACTCTTGATGATGTCAGGACATTAGACTGGTGTAGCACAGAGGGAAGATGCTGCAGTGACCGGTCTATCAGTGCAGAAGAGTAGAGGATCGGGTAAGTAAACCTGCTTTTCTGATGCCCCCTAGATCTAAAGCAGCAGTTAACCCTTGCAGTGCAGGTGCAGCCCAACGGAAAGGGAAATTTTTCCAACGTTCCCAGTTAGGCTTTAGCCTTAGGTTCACACCTTGGGGTTGATTTACTAAAACTGGAGAGTGTAAAATCTGGTGCAGCTCTGCACAGAAACCAATCAGCTTCCAGGTTATTTTGTCAAAGTTTAATTGAACAAACTGAAGTTAGACATTGATTGGCTACCATGCAGAGCTGCACCAGATTTTGCACTCTCCAGTTTTAGTAAATCAACCCCAATGAATTGCACAAGAAGTGCTACACATTCCTGTGCAATTCACATACAATTCAGTGTGGTGCCATTTGTGCTAATTCACTCTGAATTGGCTCATATCACACCACATTGCACCAAAAAAGTGCATACACCAATTTTAGAAACGCACTGCAACCGGATTGCATGGTCATTTTGTACCATGTGATCTAGTGCAGGCAAACGCACTGTGTTTCCGACTTGCGTTTGGGGTGTCGTTAGCAATGACTGACTTACCCACTGCAGATCGCAAGGGCAGCGCAATTTGAACACAGTGTGGGAAACATGCAGGGATTGTGGATTTCCCTCATTCTAGTTTGAACCAAGGCTTAAAAACATTAAATAGTTTTTAATAACCAGAACCCAGAAGTGATACATTACTAGTAAAGGGGCTTCCTATTAGAATTCCCATGGTATACATATTCTATTATTATTATTAATCATGTAGAAGTGCAATCATATCATATACTATAATACAATATACAAAGGTATAATGTGGCAGAAATCAATCACAGTACAACGGGAAGCCCACAGATCCTAGGAGAATTGTAAGATTTTTAATAAGTCCAGCATGGCCCTTCTCATTGTATAGTATAAATGGAAGGTCACGTGATGGGTGTTCATGTTGTTGGGCGTTCTTTGCTGTTTGCTTTTCAAACGTTTAAATGGAAAAAGTTGCATTTTGACAAGAAAAGGCTACATTAGACCTGCTGTGCCTGCAGATCAAACTCAATTCAATAGGACATGCGGGCGTCCAAAGAAACGCACTGCAACGCAAATCAGGTGAAACGCAGCCTCTGAACTACCATGTGTACTGGTCAATAGAAATGCATCCAAACACAGTAAAGCAAAGTCTGTTGATATAACCCTTAAAAACTAGCTATACACTATACAATCTGATTGTACAAACTCTACATAATTTCATATAGATTTACAAAAACGATGTAATATGTAGACACATCTAAACAATCCATTCGCTTTGTATCAAATCAGGCAGGTCCTTGTACTAGATCATTGATAGGAGATCAAAAGAAGATTGTACAAACAGAATGCATCGTGTATGGTCAGCCTAAAGCATGGGTGCTCAACCTGTGTCCAGGGGCAGACTGACAACTCATGGGGCCCCCGGGCAATAGAGCATCATGGGGCCCCTGTGTCCTTGCCCAAACTAAAAAAAGCCTATGAAAAAGGTACCAGGGGCATCTCATGGGGCCCCCTACTGACCCCGGGCCCACGGGCAGTGCCTGAGTTTCCAAATGGTCAGTCTGTCCCTGCCTGAGTCCCTCCAGCTGTTGTGGAACTACAAGTCCCATGAGGTATTGCAAGGCTGACAATTACAAGCATGACTCTTAGAAGCAGAGGCATGATGGGATTTGTAGTTCTGCAACAGCTGGAGGGACACAGATTGAGTACCCATGGCCTAAAGCTTGCCATACACACTATGCAATCTGATTGGACAATCTCTCTGGTCTCCTTTTGATTTACCAAAACTATGTAATATCAGGGCACACCTAAACAGTCCTTTCCTTTGGTATCCAATCAGGCAAGCCCCTGCACTACACAGATGATGGTAGGTCTATAGGAGATTTTACAATCAGATTGTATGGTGTATATCCATTCATTCTTACCTGTAACTCGTGCAGCCTGGACAGGCCTCCTCTGCAGAAGATATCAGTCAGGAAACTGATGGCAGAGGGACCGGGCACGTCTGCCAGGGACTTGTGCCTCTTGATGACGGTCTCTGTTCTTCTCTGTAAGGACTCCGTCCATGCCTCAGTCAGGGTCCTGAATACAGAGGAGGACCTGTGCGCCACTTTCAGTGTCTGTGCCATACTGCCCGGGGATGGCTGGCCAAGGAGCAGATGGGGAGATTGCTTGCAGCATCCTCCTGCAGTGCCAGCGCCTCTATTTATACAGAAACATACTATATTCCCCGCTACACAACACCAGGCATGTGTACACCAAAGACACGCCCCTCATGTCATCCCCCAATCAATTTCATCATCCTTCCCGAGAAATACTACATACCCGTACAGTGTGTTTTTTGTGTGTATGTTTTTTTGTTTGGGTGTGTGATGTGTTTTTTTTGTTGTTTGTTTGTGTGTTTGTTTTTGTTGTGTGTGGTTTGGTTGGTTGTATGTTTGTGTTTTTTGTTTTTGTTTTTTGTGTTTGTTTTTTTGTGTTTTGTTGTTTTTTGTTTTGTTTGTGTGTTTGGTGTGTTTTTTTTTATTGGGTTTTTTTTTTTGTGTTTTTTGTGTTTTTTGTTTTTTGTTTTTGTTTTTTTGTTTTTGTGTGTGTTTTTGTGTTTGTTGTTTTTTTTTTTGTTTGTGTTTGTGTTTTGGTGTTTGGTGTTTTTGTGTTTTTTTTTTTTTTTTTTTTTTTTTTTTTTTGTTTTTTTTTTTTTTTTTTTTTTTTGGTGTGTGTTTTTTTTTTGTTTTTTTTGTTTTTTTTGTTTTTTTTTTGGTTTTTTTGTGTGTTTTGTTTTTTTGTTGGTGGTGTTTGTTTTGGTTTTTTGTTTTTTTTTTTTGGTTTGTTTTTTTTGTTGTTTTTTTTTGTTTTTGTGTTTTTTGTTGTTTGGTGTTTTTTTTTTTTTTTTTTTTGTTTTTTTTTTTTTTGAAAAAAGTTCAAATTAAATTGATAGCAGATATATCCGCTGCAGCATCCCAGTGTGAGCTAATGGTGATCCGGTGATAAGCGACAAATGGTAAGAGTGCGCACTCACCGGAAGCGCAATCGTAATGCGCATTGATCAAATATATAGGTCTCCTATGGGGTACAGCCTGGTGTGGAATCTCCTCCTCTGTGGATAGGGTATTAGAGATGTCACTCAGAGGGGTCTGGTCATAGGCTTCCCTCTCAGGGTCCGGATAGGTCACCTGGGGTCCTGGGGTGGAGTTCAATTGCTCGATGTGGAGCAAAAAACAAAAATGCCCATAGTGTAGTATGTTGTTGGTGTTTATTAAATAAGAATTAGTAGTACAGAGTACCAGAGCATTAAAAATGGTCACAATATAGATGGTAGCAGCAAGCAGGCTGCTATAGCACTTACAGGTGTAAATATCACTAACCAGCTGGTTTGTTATGATGGGCGCCGGATCTACATGATCCGGCGGCGTGACGTCACTGCGTACAAAGGCTCCTCCTAGACGCGTTTCGTACCACATACGTAATCAGTAGGGGTGTTGCCACAGCAACTAATTCTTATTCAATAAACACCATCAACATACTGCACTATGGGCATTTTTTTTTTTTTTCTGAAAATACAATTTAATTGGCTGTTATGTTGACCCTCGGGCCTGAATAGCTATTACTGACTTGAGCTGATTTGCTAAAGGAGTAAGGGACGTTAATGTAGATTAGTAAATATGGAGATGCTGTATTCCCTTTGCATACCCAATAATGCAAGGAACAAAAAAAATCTGATATGGGCTATGCTGGGCAGCCTTTTCCAATGCAATCCCAATGCACAGACAAGGCGATTCACCTTATGTACTATTAGTCCAGTTCACACTACTGAGCTGAAAATAAGTAGGACGTTCTGTAACTTTTTCAGAATAGCGTGTTGCGACGCAGCGCAACTGCAATGAATAAAAATGAATTATATTGTATGTCACTTTGTTAAAATTTCTTATAAAGTTGAAAAAGTATACAGTGTAGTGCTTCAGCACCTCTCCCTTCACAGCACACCTCCGTAGCTGCAATATAATGCCGCTGTTGGTGTGAATAAGCCCTTAGGCTAGATTCACACCTATGCAGTTCGCGTTTGACCCGTTTCTGCATTGTGTTTTTGTACCTGTGTTTTTTTTTCTGCGTTTAGCGTTTTTTTTTTTGCTGTTGCTAGACAAATGTAAAACACAAAACGCATTAAAAACACAGCAAAAAAGCACTACATGCTTTCTGCAGCATTTCCATTAAAGTCTATAGAACCAAAAATGCTACTTTTTGTGTTCAAATGTTAAATGGACTGTACTGCGTTTCTGAAAAATGCTGCAAAAACGCTTAGGTGTGAACCTAGGGTAAGGCTCCATTCACGCCAGATGCAGTGGGCCTGCGCTGGGCAGTTATTTCAGTGCAGTTCCACTGCAGGACAAAGCTAACTGCCTTGTCTCCTGTGTGCCTGATTCACATCACTGTGGTGCGGTGCAGTGGTGTGCGGGCACGGTGCGCTGAAAAAGAAAACTGTATGCGCTGTTTGTTTTGGCGCAGCACAAGGCACCACTTCGCACCGTGTGGCGGCCAGTTGAACTTTATGCAATGTCTGATGTTTCACTATAGTTCATTTGCAAAAAAAAGGAATGGTGCAGTACAGAGCTGTGATTCCCACCACTGTACAGCGACCACTGCATTACAAAGCTCTGGCTGGTGTGAATGGACCCTTACGCTTCAATATATTCTCTAGTCTTGGTCAACATTCACTTTCAAAGTGAGAGTTTGCTACTGTGTTAGTAATTCAACACCGCTGATTTTGAACAAGTGTGCAAATTAGAAAAATAAACCCTTTGTTTTTTTTTATAATTGTTCCAAATAAAGTTCGAAAAAAAGGCTGAAATAAACCATCACCAACGTGTTCAGGAGAGGAGCTTTTGAACAGAAAAAACATCTGACCCTCCTAAATGTGTTTAAATGCATCTAAATGCTAGATGAGTTTAGACTCGTTTGAGCTTAATGTATTCATTCCAATGACCACAATAAAGTAACATTCTGGCCAATGGAATCCATTGATGTTTAAGCGTCTTATGTGCCTAAACACGTCTAGACACTGACAGGAGAAAAGGCATTTAGAGGGGGCTGGTCAAATGCCCAGTGTGCATAAGCCCCAAGAGAATCCATATAACAGCCAGAAAAATAGTATTTTGAGAAGGAGATGATGGATTCTTTGACACTAGAGATAAACAACTCTATACATGGCAGGTAATGAAAGCACACTTCAACTCAAATTGGAAAGTAAGCCTTGTATTGCCAACAGGGGGCACCTAACCCTACCTAGCTATAATGTGTACTCTTCATCCTGGTGGTGTCCCGGGTTGCTTCATTACCTGGAATCACCTTACTACCAATAATCCGGTGTTGTTCAAACACTGAGGAGCCATGTGAATGTACAGAATGTGTAATCCAGGTCTTGATGTCTTGTATGGCCACTACCTCACTGATCATTGCTGTCCTCACATTGCTCATGTAGAGTGTTTTCTACAATCTCCTTCTCTATGGCTGCTGCTTATGTGATGCAAAGAAATAGAAAACACAGAAGGGGACACACATGGTTTTCTAGATGGTCCTATGTGTAATCCTTTCTTAAACATATGCTCCTAGATGTAGGTGAATCATTAATACTTTCACTTGGTTAGATAGGATTAACACTTTTATGACCATCAGTCCTTAAGGCTGGCCATAAACTATACAATTTTCTGGCCAATTTCCTTTAGATTTACCTTCAACTATGTAGCGCAAGGGCCTGCCTAATTGGATACAATTGAAAGTGTTGTTTAGGTTTGGTCTCATATTATGTGCTTTTTGGTAAATCTAAAGCAAATTTCTGAAGAAAATTGTGCCATGTATACCTAGCCTTGCTGGCTAGATTTGAGTAACCTTCTCGTTACTGGTTATTGGTAGGAGCTGGAAATGGTTAACTCTTGGGAGACAGGTGGCTGAGCAAGGTTATTATTTCATGATTGGATATTTTTTCCATAATTAGATATGATTAACCTTTGGTGACTATTTGTTTTAATCCTTTTCTTTATAGTTGCAACCCCCTATTGGTCCTTTGATGATTATCATCCTGTCCCCGAAAAGTTTTATCATGATAGTTTCTTACACCCTACCAAACAATATGTCAACTGGAATGGAATGAAAAATCTACAAGCAACTAATAGCAGATATGGATTGGTGGCTCACGTCTCTGCCTTCTTGATTCAGTAGATTGTATGCTCTAAAAGTGAATGTCCTGCCCAGGCTTTTATATGTATTTAGAACCTTACCAATTGTAATACATCCTTCAGAGTTGGCACAGTTTCCAAATAAGGTCTTGACATTTATTTGGGGAACCAAGAGGCCCAGAATAAACAAATGTACATTGTATACCCCCAAACTTAGGGGTGGCCTGGGGGTCCCTGACCTTTTGAAATACTTTCAGGCTACCTAAATGGCACAAGTGATTCTCTTTCATACTCATGAATCTTTTCTCTCATGGATGTCCATGGAGTCCTACCCATATCCCTCCATGCCATTTAGCCACTTAATGTGGCTACTGGGCAGAGACAGGCCTCCAATATTATGCCCTAATTTATCCTTCTCACTGAGCTTGTGGAATAGACTGTGCACCTCCCATGAAATTCAAATCTGGTCACACTCCCCTGGCTCCTTTATTTCTTTGTGGAATATGTTTTTTTAAAATGATAAATAATATATCTATGACATGGTATTCAAACGATATAACATGAAGGCCTAATGAAAAATTTCTGAGACTTTATGTAAAGTCTTAAATTATTGCAAATACTCTCAGCTGGAACCCTGGAATACAATTCAAGTAACAAGAGAAATATGCATTTCTGTGAGTCGGGGGCACTGCAGGGGAAATTATCCAGTTTAGTGTACTTGTGCACTCCTAGTTGTACCCCCTACAGTTGGGTGACTGTTGGGATACAGTAGATGACAGTTTCTGTCCACTGAGGCTATATTTGACAGGTAAGAGGGCAAATTGCCTGATAACTTACTTTATCTTTATAACCTTTAGATGATTCCTGTTTTCCACCATCACAGCATAATGCTTACCTATAGTATGCTCAGTAAAATGTTTTTTTTTCTTTTCCTTCTCTCAGTAAAACGGTGAGACCAA